AGACCTATTTAAATATACTAGATGGTAATACATTTTCATTTTAATATCATGTTTTTAAATTATCAGATTTCTAAATACTCATGGACGAATTACAACAGTGAAAAGATAGATTTACACATATACACATACAAACACGCATATATACACTCAGGTACAGTTAGTATGTGTAATGCAGTTGATGTTTGAGATACCTGTCCATGAAGTAAAGATGTAAGTTTAAGTTGGGCAACACAACAGTTGCATATTTCAATTCAGTTGCTTTGTGAGAATATTGATGTAATTGATTTTTGTGAGAAATTACCCAAATGATTCTAGTAGAGGTGCATGGAGTTTATAAACACAGAGGAGCGCTTCCTGTATTACGTCACATCACAAGGTGCAACAGGGTGTTTTCTGTTTGAGAGAACTCAGTCTAAATATGCAGGGTTTGTGTGTTAAACGTGTGTGAATGAAACAAAACACAACTCCAGGTAAGTTTGTGATGCAGTAACCACATGTAATATGGATCAGAAAATAGAGTAATACGGTCCCTTTAGCTACAAGTATGTACATTTACTTCTTGCTGTTTATTTAATAGTCAGATTTGTGGTGGCTGCTGAGTAGTTTGATGTAATTCAAAATCAGTGTTGGGAAGCTGACTTTTAAAATGTATTCCCCTACAGATTACAGATTACATACCTCAAAATGTAGTTTGTAACGTAATCCATTAAATTACTTTAGGTGAGTAACGTAATCTGATTACTTTGGATTACTCGATATTGTCATGCTTTTTAAAACTACATGAAAGTAGCGACCATATCCTGAAAATTCATATTTGTTCTCTTCAAATTGGCTGTTGAGCCCAAGTCTCCATGAACAGACTTTTGTTTTACTGTAAAGAAGCAAAGACGAGGATCTGAACATAAGAAGTTTTATCTGCTGAAAGACAATAAAAAGCCCATATTAAAAAATATTATTGATAGAGAAATTATTTTTATATGAGATCACCTTAAATTATGTCCACCCTACTGTTAGTGTCATATTGTTTAGACCTGGTTAAGTCCTGGTTTAGTCCTGGTTTAGTCCTGGTTTAGTCCTGGTTTAGTCCTGGTTTAGTGCTGGTTTAGTCCTGGTTTAGTCCTGGTTTAGTCCTGGTTTAGTCCTGGTTTTAGTGCTGGTTTAGTGCTGGTTTAGTCCTGGTTTAGTCCTGGTTTAGTGCTGGTTTAGTGCTGGTTTAGTGCTGGTTTAGCCCAAAATGAGAAAACAGGAAAATACCACCATGTAATCCATTTATTTCAACAAAGTAACTGTAATCCAATTACCATAAACTGAAACAGTAACTGTAACTGAATACAGTTACTCATAATTTGTACTTTGATTACATAACTCCGGTACATGTAATCTGTTACTCCCCAACACTGTTCATAATAACATTGCTTATGATAATGCAAAATGTCAGTACTTCTCCAGCATGAGATGAAAACAAACACATGCGCAGTATATTCTATGAGTTATTGCTAAAGGCCACATTGAGTATAACAGTTGACTTTAGGTTAGGGCTGAGCAAGTAATGAAATAAATTTGATTAATTTGGGTTTTTAATAATGAAGTTTTTGAGCCTTTGCTCTAACTTCCATTATAATCAACTAAAACTGTACATTTTTGGCCATATCGCTCAGCCCTACTTGAGGTTAAGGTTTGAAATCACTGATATCATTAGTGATTACCACTATTTCACTTTTACTATTCACAGATTGCAAAAAATATGGCAAATGCTAAATACTAAAAGTAGCTGTTCTGCTCCACCCACATGAACCCCTATAGCTTCTTGTGATGCACCCTCGGGACTGAACCAACATAGTCCTTAGTGTATAACATATCACCACCATGCCGCTACATGTAAATTTACACCACACATTTTACCTACAGGCCATGAATGTTTTCTCCCTATGGTCCTTATGTCGAAGATCAATAATTCTATAAATCTACCGTGGGAGAGCAGTGAGGTAGGTCAAGGCAGACAAATAATACTAGCCTAAATGAACCAAGCCACCTCAGAGAAAAACCAGGTCAAAATAAGGCTATAGTTCAGTGAATATGTCAGCCATTCCCTTAGGAGGCAGAGAGGAGGTGAGAAGAATATCCCCAGTGGAAATGGGACAGAAAAAAAAAAAAAACAGCAGCGTGCACAGAATAAAGCTACACAATTTATGCTCTGCACATTTGTTTTTAATGAAGTATAATAATTCACAGCAGAAGGCAGGGATGCAAGCACCAACAAGACCAGGTATATGGCATAATCCGGATTGAGCGAGAGGAGGCATCCAAGGCGATATAATTTAGGTCCTGACATAACAACCTTGTATTAGTGGAGTGGTATTGTTAAAAGTACTAACCATAAAGCCTATTTTTACAACAGCTCCCTGTGCAATATATAATGAAATGGTCACACATAAAAACCACCAGGCTAAAATTACACTGGATCTTGAATAGTCTTTGTTTTGTATTTTAAGATGGTTTCCCTTTTGGAGAGTATTGTAAAACGAGCACTTTATGACAAAACCAAAGTGCTATGTGGTGTCTGCATCTATTCATTTCATATTAATTATTGTACTATTGCTAACTCAGAGGTGAGAGCTGTAAACAGTGTTAGAATTGACTGTGCTTTGGTGGCTTGCCCCATGTCACGCTGCACTCTAAAAAAAGCAGTTTTAAAGACATGCACGTACCTGAAAAAAGCGCGCATGTGATCATTTCTTGACAGGATGAAGCTAACTAGATAGGCTGGCACGTATGAAACTCTAACTCAAGTTAGACTTCAATTTTGTCTCCCCATAAAGAACTGACTTAGAACAGGAGAGCCAATTTGTGCTGTTAAACAAGTCCATCTAAAATAACATTAAAGGGATAGTTCGGGATTTTTGACATAAATCTGTATGTCGTCCCCGTGAGCAGTGTCGTGCATCAACACTGACTTACCCCCGACAGCGTCCGGTGAGCCCAGATACTGGCTGTTTTCGGTTCTGATGAAAGTAGTCCGGCAAGTTGACTGGGGACTGTATAATAAAGTGTTTTTCTTCTCAAAACAATCTGTGTTCAAAAGAGTGATACATTTGCATCACAAAACCACTGTCGCCTAAAAAGTCAGACCTCATTATCGATTGGCACTATTTTCTTTCCGTTCATATCACTGCACGCTGCCGCCAGGTGACAGCCGCACACAGATCCATCACTTTTTTCAGTTGTTCGGCAGTGTTTACATGCGCAGACCGCCGCGACGTGAGAGAGCTAACGTGAGAGCTAGAGCTAAGAGATATAAGCGAAGTAGAGCTAAGTAGAACTAGAGCCATAAGTATATAAGCTTGTATAAGATACATAAGAATATATCTAAAAAATGGTGTGAACTCTTGATTATCCAGGCTGTAACAACAAAAATCTGGCTGAATCTCCACACACATGTCACCGTTTTCCTGTCACAGACTTTGCGCTGAGGAAACTTTGGCTTCTTGCCTTTGGCTTCAATGTGGAAACCAAACCAGGTAAGAATGAAGGAGTGCCACTATGTTTACAAGAGAACAGACTGAAGAATCAGCTGTAACTCTGTGTGCAGTAAATCACTCAGTGTCATATCACCAGTGAAGCTTCTACAAAACCTAACTTTATAAGTCGACTGTTATTACTATTGTAAATGTCTCGTACACTGTTGGCAGCAGCTACGTGGACGTGTGGATGATTCCATGTTTCTATTAGTCGTCCATGCTTCAGTCACAGTGTAGACTCTATGTTCACTGTATACGAGTTTATAAATGACGTGATGGTGATTGTCGCTCACTCGGTCTCTCACAGCTCCAGCTTCAACTTGTACCACTTCTCTGTCTCTTCTCTCTCTGCCCGTTCTAACTCCATCTGGTGAATTTCAGCATCAGTATATTCGGGGTCATAAAGATCTCCCTTTGGCTTTGTGGTAAAGGCAAAGTCTTTATTGTCGGTGTCGTAATCAGACATGTTGTCACTAACATTCCGAGCAGTAAACAAAGTGAACCAGGCGCGGCTGTCACCTGGCGGCAGTGCACAGTGATACGAACGGAAAGAAAATAATGCCAAGTGATTATGAGGTCTGACTTTTTTGAGGTTGATGGTTTTGTGATGCAAATGTATCACTCTTTTGAACACATGTTGTATTGAGAAGAAAAACACTTTATTATACTGTCCCCAGCCAACTTGCCGGACTACTTTTGTCAGCACCGAAAACGGCCAATATCTAGGCTCACCGGACGCTGTCGGGGGTAAGTCAGTGTTGATGCACGACACTGCTCACGGGGACGACATACAGATTTATGTCAAAAATCCCAAACTTTCCCTTTAAGAGTTATTTTAGATGGACTGCTAGCTGTTTTTCAGATAGTCACTCTCACTTTTTTGTTAATGCATGAATGCTTGTATTTATCACAGGATCTTGACATGTTGTTTTAATCTATTAAATATTTTTTGTTGCGTTTCAGATTATTTTATATCTTATTTAGCAGTATTTGCTAATGTCTGCTGAGCATTCCTCCATAGACACAGATGCAGCCCTCCCCAGTGTGGTGTCACTGCTCAAGTATCAATATGTGCTGAAGAGTTTCTGAGAGCTAGTGCTTAGTTAAACAGATTTAAATACCTACTTCTTTCTTTCACGGTTTGAAAATTGGGTAATGGAGCTTTAAATGCTTTTGTCTAGCTAAAGTAAAAACGTGGTAATAATGTAATAATTTCATTCGTTCAGCTTATTTTGTTCACTTGTATGCTGCAATTGGCCGTGCTCCACTTGTTTCTGGGTCCCTAAAGCCTTGATGTGGTTGAATCTATAAAATGAAAAATATGTGTTTGTATTTTATATGGAGCCAAAATGTCACTGTGAAAAAACATGGTGACAAGTCAGAGTAATAACCATACATTTGAAGGTAATGGCTGTATTTATGGGTTAGAGCTCACTGATCTGCAGCCACACCGGTGTAAAGTGCAGTAAGAACAGAGCATACCTTTGACTGTGAGGCTGCCCGTGCTGCTGGCCACTCCAAACTGGTTCCTGGCCACACATGTGTACAGGCCCGAGTCGGTCTTGGTCGCATTCCAGATCCGTAGATTTCCACTCTCCAGAATATTCACCCTGGGGAAGAAAAGATTTAGGCTTAACTTTAAAGAACTTCAGGATTAAAAAACAAGAAAGCTTTTTTCCTTACTTTTATTGCAGAATAACAGTAAAAACTAAGTAGCGTGCTGAGCAATGGTAGACCTGGATTTATGAATTATCGTGTCTTAACTAAATTCAGTTACACCGGGCCTAGACATTATACTCATTAAAGGTGCAATATGCAACTGTCAGGGAATTTACTCAAAGACTCAATCATTAAAGAGCAAACCAGAGACGATACAGTGGTTCCTGCCTCCCTAACTATAGCTCTCTTCTCCCCACAGCACTTTTATCGTTAAGCATCACACAATAACCTTGACATGATTATATGACTTACATAATCATGACATGATTATATGTTTTACAGTTATCTCTGACTAATGGACTACAGCTGACAATGCATATCATGGTGTACATACAGGTTCTTCTTAGCCCACTTTATCCCATGTCAGCCCCAATCTATTTACAATCATTAGCAGATTTTCTATCATGATATCTTTATATCTTTAAATGGGTCAGCTGGTGCGTGGTTACATACAGTTTTGAACAGAGCACAAAGCAATTTTATAATCTTATATTGTACAATGATTAAGCATAGATTAATACTTTTAAAGGACTTGATGTGTTTAAACATAGATTAACACTTTAAATGACTTAATGTCTCATGACCCAAAAAAAAAAAAACCTGTAACTTTTTATGGGGATGTTATGTTTATTTTGCCTGGAATGATCCATTGTATGGTATTAAAAGTATCTATCTTCATGGAGACACACAGATAACCCCGACAGGCCAAATTACTGGTCAGATCTGTGGGGGGGCTGATCTATTTCAAGATGCACCTCTAATGCATTTATTTCTTTTGTAACCAATGAGCAAAAATCTCTACACAAAATGGATTGACCACGAACACCTCTCACAACCTCCTTGGTTAAGTTTAAGATCTTTGCTCTAGTTTGCCCAACAGATTAGAGCCTAACTTTTTGTACTGGGCAATGTACAGTATTATTTGTGGGTCAAAGCTGACAAAGCAGAAGAATACACTGCAGTGCACAGAGCGTAGAGAGGAGTTGTATAGCTCTAATTAAGTTCCATATGTCTTTGCAGCAGGGTGACAATGCTGACATATAGAGCTGTTTCCACTGATGATTAATTCAACACCACAGTCCACATATAGGACAATGGAGCTATGCTCTGGCCTTTATATAACAGCCACAAGTTCTTCAAAAAAGGTCAAAGGGCCTTAACTAAAGATGACATTTTCTAAATAAGAGGAAGACATGTAGATAGTGCCCTTGGAGCCAGGCTGCAGAGGGAAATCAAGGACTGGCCAGCTCATCAAAGCTCACTGCATTTTAATTGTGTGAATGCTTTGCTGAGTATGCAGATATAAACAGCAGTGGTCCGAGGTAAACAGTGAGCAATGTTTTTTCCACTGAGTCTCTGTAAAATGAGATGATATAATGGCAGAGATAGTATAGTAAGAAGGTTTTGGTCATTCTTAAAGGGCCCATACTACTCCATTTTCTGATGTATGTTATAATGTTGTTTCCTCATCAAAAACATACCCCAAGATGTACACCATCATTCAAAAGTTTGGGGTCGCCCAGACAATTTAGTGTTTTCCATGAAAAGTTACACTTTTATTTACCATCATGAGTTGTAAAATGAACAGAAAATATAGTCAAGACATTGACAAGGTTAGAAATAATGATTTGTATTTGAAATAATAATTTTATAATTCAATTTTAATAATTCAATTTGCAGTAATTACAGCATTGTAGACCTTTGGCATTCTAGCTGTTGATTTGTTGAGGTAATCTGGAGAACTTTCACCCCACGCTTCAAGAATCCTCCCACAAGTTAGATTGGCTGGATGGACACTTCTTGCGTACCATATGGTCAAGCTGCCCACTTCTCTTTCTACTCTGCTTAGAGCCTGTTTGTGCTGTTCTCTGAAGGGAGTAGTTCACACCGTTGTAGGAAATCTTCAGTTTCTTGGCAATTCCTCACATGGAATAACCTTCATTTCTAAGAACAAAAATAGACTGTTGAGTTTCACATGAAAGTTCTCTTTTTCTGGCCATTTTGAGCATTTAATTGACCCCTCAAATGTGATGTTCCAGATACTCAACCTGCTCAAAGAAAGGTGAGTTTTATAGCTTTTCTAACCAGCTAAACTGTTTTCACCTGTCCTAACATGATTGCACAAGGGGTTTTCTAGTCATCCATTAGTCTTCTGACGCAATGAGCAAACACATTGTACCATTAGAACACTGGAGTGACAGTTGCTGGAAATGGTCCTCTATACACCTGTGTAGATATTGCAACAAAAACCAGACATTTGCAGCTAGAATAATCATTTACCACATTAGCAATGTATAGAGTGTATTCCTGATTAGTTTAAAGTAATCTTCATTGAAAAAAAAAACAGTTCTTTTCATTCAAAAATAATAATAATAATACAAGAAATGCTCCTCTGTATTTTTAAACTCCATGCACCTTCACTAAAATCATTTGGATAATTTCAGCCCTGGAATTGCCAAACTTTACTGAACAAAAGGTAAAAGGTAGCTGTTAACTTGAAAAGCTACCACTTCATGGCATCACAAGGTGGAACACAAGGATTACTCAAACATGTGTCAGTGAAACAAAACACAACTCCTGCTATGTTTTGATTGTAACAGTATTCTAACATGAATAAAAGTTCACAAGTAAATTTCGCGTAATACAGGACCTTTAAGTGCACTTCATGTTATGATAATAGCATTTTAATGGCATAATAAGTTATATGTTGACACAGGTACCAATTGTGGTTGTGTAATACTCATTCGAAAACTCATCCAAAATATAAGTACACAATATTGGATCTATCCAGAGGGAACACTTTTTTCATCTTCTTCAATGAAAATGTATGAATTCATTAAGCTGTTTCTCTAACGTAGCCAGCCGTACAATTCACACAATGAAACCCAATTTGCATTGCTCACACCAAAAAGCAGGATTTTGCAGATGAGGATATTCGCTTGAAGATGTAACCTTGCATAAAATGTAGACTATATTTAATATGGTGCACTTTACAACTTCTGTGGTGGAGGATCTGCCATCTGCTTTTCTCCATGGAAATTAAACATATGTACCTCTATAAAGACAAGCAGGCTACGGCACAAGGCTAAGTTACAGGTCAGATCTGTGGAGAGGCAACCACTAATGGAAGTTTTCAAGGTATTCCAAAAACCTACAACTGAATAAATACAAGACCGGTAAGTTTAATGGCATGTTAAACCCTCCACCAGAAGGTGGTCTCATAATGCACCTTTAAGAGCACTTGTATTTCTTAACACTTTCTTCCCTGTTGTTTTATGTTTTTCTTATTAAATCCAGTTATTGCTGTATTTAACTGCCTGTAAAGCAGGAGATACACACTCCTAATCCACCTCTGGTAGTGGAGCGCACAACGGGCCATGCGTCTTTGAGTGTGCCGGTGATAAGAAAGTGCAGAGACAGTGTATTGTAAGAGAATCTACTCCTCAAACCACATGCTGAGTGGAGACATTCTATCAGCCAGATACGGGCCAAAGTGCTGAATACAATGAGCATCACTCACACACGGTGCAGATCACCAGTTAGTGGCATCAAAGAGGGAGGCTGATAAATTTAAGGGAAATTGGCCATTAAACAGGGCCAGGATGCTACAAGTGACAATAAGCCTGCGCAGAGTAAGCACAAACACTGCACCACACTGCGGATGTGTACGCTCCCAAACCTGGGCTGACGACGGCACTGAAACACCTCTGTAAGCAACTTGTGAGGACGGCCATTTGCAAAAGAACTGTCTGCTTTCTTAGGGGTTATGGCATAGTCAGAGCGAACACTAATGAGTACAATGGATAGAATCATAGCAGCATCTTAATGTTGTTTAAGATCACATTTCATAAGTTAGTTTCAAGGTGAGTTTATTGACTAAAAATTGAACTGTAGAAGATATAGCCTAAGCAGTGTGTAAAAATAAAACCTTGCAGTAACTTTTCAGATTTGGGAAATAAAAGTCTGCAATACTGTATACTAACTACAAATTAATAAGCTTTAATAAAACATGAACAAAAATATGAATTCATGATAAATACATAATTTTATAATTTAATTATTATTTTATTATTAATTATTTAATTTCATAATTTAATTTAAAGTTAAAACCATACTTCAAAATATTCATTAATATATATTTCATGCCATTCAGTGTAAGATTATAGCCAAAGAGATTATAGCTAACTATATATTATAGACATAGAGATACATTACCATGGAAACAAGCAGAAGAAAGCCTATGTCCTGACCAAATAAAAGTCAGGTTTGTGGAGATGCAAGCTTGCTCAGAGTAAGGACGCATGTTTTTTCTGTGCACTAAACACACAAAAAAAATGAAAAGAATGTTTGTTTTTTTTAGAATGAATCAGGCTTAGTAAGTACTTAATTAAGCCATAACCTCTAGCCATAATCCCTTAATTAAGTCTCATTATAAATAGCTAACTATTCCTTCATGAAATAAGTCTTTGTTAAGGTGCAGTTATTGGTCAGTGCCTATGCGAGCCATAGAACTCCCCATTCCAAGGGCTTAAATGCAGCACTATACAGATCACTGAAAATTGTAAGAAAGAAATAATGCAAAACTTCTCGTGTTTTTGAGAGAATATCTTCTAAGGCCCAACAACAACTTCACCTGCATGTCGTTAGCCACTTACGAAGGGGCCATCCCAAAGTCCTTTCTGCACATCCTGAGACATTATTCACACTCCACCTAGAAGCGGTGACCTCCTTCGGGGCAAGCGACGTGCGGCTTCATGCAATTGCTCACCATAAGTAAATACCTGCATTCATACCCTATGCTGCATATACCCACTATGCTGGTATCCTCTGGGACCATGGGGCTATCATGTGACTCTGCAGCACGGACTGGAGTGTGCATACTAGGTACAAT